GAGAATTTTCCCTATATCCCCCATCCCGTGTTCCTATTCCTTAAGGAACCGGGATAGACATCAGCAAGGAAAATCAGCCCATAACAAGTACACGGTGGCAAGGTGGCTGATGCCTTTCCCCGATATCAATCCTTAGAAACAGACCACATGTGATGGGCGTGGAAGGCGTGGTGCCCTCGCTGCAGAGGTCCAGGCGGAAAGAGGCCAAGATGTTTGTATAAAAGAGAATTGGCATAAGAGAGCGTAGCAATCGCCGGGACACGTCTTTTTCTCCGTCGACATGGGCTGCACTTCTAGGAGTCAGAAATGCAAATAGGAGTCTCTATCCAGGTGGAACAAAAAAGAATCAGTAGCGCGAAAGATTTTTTATGAAGAAAATATGATTCAATGGTCAACAAGAAATTACTTGTCCTAGTGCTAATCATAGTTAGTGTGTGGTGAGTGAGGGAAGGGGAGGTGATAATTTCGATATTTTTGTTCCTAACCTATCGCATAACTGACGTAATTAGCTAATTGCAAGTACTTAAGCTTCTACCAGTGAGTGATCCTGCGCATGTAACATCTTCCCTAGTACTCATCCGCTTTCCATTGAAGTCAGATTATGTGGGCAGAGATAGCTCACACACTGTACGGAGTCCAGGGCGAGTTCAGCGGTGTCGTCACTCGTCGAGCTCGACTAGTTCGCCGAAGGCACTTCACTTTCACCCAAACCCCATTTTTGAAGAAATGAAAGACATGAGTTTTTCACATAGTCGTCCACTTTATGAGTACACTGAGAGTGGTTTGACTCCCTCAAGTAATACCGATCTTTTATCTTGACTAGTAGTTCTTTTTTGAAGTCAGTTAAAGCCATGGATAGAGGAGCGGCCTTTTGTTGCTCTTTAGGGATATATCAGGGTCGTTTCCTGCAACTCTCTTGAAACTTCGGAAGTTGCAGCATTTTTGGAAGCAAAAAATGGAAAGTTCAAGGCATAAGCATAAGCTACGAAGGAGTACTGAGCATTATTTGCTCTTCATACCCCTATCTTCTTGATTGAAGCTGCATTTTTATCACAATTTAAGGATGAGGTATATTTCTGAAAAATAAACCCAGAGGTAGTTCAACTCTTTGAATTGAGTATCACGTGGCCGTGCTTCAGGCGCCGGCACCTGTGACTCTGGCGCCAGCTTTCTTCGCGATAAGCGCTTCAAATCACGAACATGAAAAGCTTTTTACGTTTATTGATTCCTTTTCGGGATGCACAACAGATTTCAAATTGGTGAGAAATTGGCCATATTGAATGCGATTTTTTTGGCTGTACAACAAATTACGGGGGCCAGTCGTCGTAGGGAGAACGGTCTTTTGTTTTGTTCGCAAGTCGAGTGACAACTGACCGCAACTCCGTGGGGAAGGAAGGTTAGGTTTGACTCGCGGGAGTCTAGGAATCTCGCTATGCGAAGGGACATACTTGATCTCCGGACAATTGGGAAACTTCAGGCACTTGTCACTCGCAGCACCTTCGACTGCCATGAAAAAACTATTTTGCTGGGTTACTGCAATGCAATGTCTGCAACATACCATCCCTTCTACTCCAAAAATTTGTTCAACTCTTTGATCACAGCAATTACGAAAATGTCTTATGAAAGTGCGAAAGTGGATCGTCCCGTTGTTCTCCTTGAACACCTCTAATTTTCATAAAGTTTTGACTGAGTTCTCCGCCATATTTTCCTTCGCTTAACTCAAAAGACTTTATTACAGATATGCCATTCGACTGGACCACGGTCTCCCCGCCGCGACGACACCTGCTCGCAAAGGAATCCCGATGGGCGCTCACGGTGTGCTCAATCAAGTCGCGACGTTGCCAGCTCTCCGTGTCCCGATACCGTCTCATCAAACATTATTCTTTAGCTCGCAATCAACAGAAGCAACACGGCGGACACAGCACCCCGTCATTTCCACGTAATCTATATTAAGTGCTCTCATTGAAACTATCAATATATACAATCCAACTATGGCTGGTAATAATTTTCTACCCACACACCCCCGTTCTGTTTGATTCGATATCAACTATGGTTATTTTATGCGACATTATTTCCTGAAAGATTTTTGTTTTTTCCCAACTGGATTTGTTAGGTAAAAGAAGAGACACCCAATCGCTCCGTCGCAAATTCCAGGAGAGTCTAAAAGGAATAAAAGATAAAGTCTCGCGTTAATTACAATCCGTTTGTTGGTATGGGGCAGCGCATTCAACTCTCCATTACAAAATCGTAGTGCTCACTGAGATGCGATATAAATATATATTATAATATTGCATTACAAGATGAACTCGTGCGAAATTCCACAACAAAACAGCTTAATACGTGATCAAAAACAATTATTCGCATTTCCCACAGCTAATGAGAAACAACCATAAAAGAATAGTAAGGTAAAGAAAAGAGCTGCGGAGAAGAATACCATTAGAGAAATATACATGTTAGCCCAAGGTCAAAACGATCTGGGCTCAATATACAAATTCAAAATACATTCTACATTGTTTTTTTGGGCAAAGATAATCGCGGCCATTGCGGATCTCTCTTTGTTTACATACACTTTGGTAGGAGGGAATGTGATTCTACAGATCGTAAAAGAAATGACACGTCTCAATTCCAAACTTGCCTTCTGCCACCACGTCTAAGCTTCAGCCTACCAAGCCCATCTGTACACTTGCATTGGTACTTAATGGCTGAGCCAGCACTGCGTCAAAATCCAGGAATTCCGACTCGCTGCAACAAAAAGAAAAATAATTGCAATGAAGTGAAGCGCAAATATCTCATCACATAGCCCTGGACCTTTGTAGCTCTCGCTCCGCACGTTTTCTGATTGATCCGTGCTGGCAAACTGCTGTCCGCATTATGTCCATGAAACTGAGCATGCGTCCAGAGGTCGGTAACTAACTTTTCTTGTAGGCAGCCAACGCCCTACGCAGAAAACCCGATATCATGCCTCTAGCAGTAACTTTCGTCCGATCCACCAAGCGACATGAGATGTCCATTCACGCACTGTGAAACCGCACGCGCCTCGACCCTGGATAATACTGGGCTGGTCTGGAGCCCTCGACCAAAAGCCAAAACTCACACACTCCATTTCTGTTATGGAATGTCAGATGAAACGCCCGATTTGGCCATGCAGCGAGTTACGTGGGTGCAAGTGGAGTCATCCACAGCAAAGGACCCCCCACACTGCTGGACTTTCAGCGCCTTGTTTTCTAGCTAACAGAGAATTAAACCGTCGCTGTCAGTGTAACTAGTGGCCTTGTTTGTCCTCGCACAATCAAATCAAGCGAATATAGTGACACACATAACTAGCACTGAAGGTCAGCTGTTGCTCCGTCGGCCAATGTGCAGACTGTTTTGTCCCCCCTTCCCGCAACGTAACACATCCCGCCACCTGTCCGGGCAGCGCTGCGCCACCACCACAACCGATCCACTAGAGACCCCTGCGGTTCAAGGTGCCTCATTCAGAGCACCAAGCATAAAGCCGTTACTAAGTCCCAACTGTTCTGGTCGATCGTACTTTGACTTCTCCTCGACGCAAAGCGCTACACAGGATCTCTTTGTCATTCGCCGTACAATTGCCATCCCATCAGCAATTTACTCGCCACTTTGTTGCACACAAAACCGAAGGTACCCGCAGAGGTTCCCCAAAGGTTTCTCGAGACCATGAAAGCCGAAAAACCGCGGCAACTTTTACCACCATATATGACAATACCTGAAATGTCATCATCTAAGTGCCCTGCTTGGGCTGAAGATGAGTTACAACCGAGTGCGGCTCGCAGTGTGGGAGGGAAGTCGACTTGACAGTACTGAGCGACCAATTGTCCTTATTGCCATGACTCGTAGTTTTGGGCTGATAGCCAGATCGTTTACTGGGGTATAGATCTGGATCTATCGACGGCTTTTTACCTATAGTCCGGAGTATTCCACGACCTTCTGGCTTTATTAGCTACTCTCGTCAGGAAAACAGCGAGATAGCGACTTTTCATAACCCATCGTTCTGAACCAAAAACCCTCCGGTGCAATGCTTTTTCCGGCCAAGAAGCTTGAACGTTGAGATGAATTGTTTCTAAATATGGTTTAAAACACATTCTAGCCGCTGGTTTTGTGAGCTCCGCTCAGCAATATGGAGAACTCTAAGCCAACCTTCCAAGGACTAGCCACAAGCTGAGAGCCGTTGATCGCTCGTGAACCGTGTCGGTTTCTTTGCAGCATAGGGGGTTTTAGAAGCCTTAAAGATTCATTTCCATTTCATTTGCAAGTGTAAAAAAGTCTTACACCCAAACCTTGAATGTCGTTGTCCATTCTATTGATTGTCAGCTGATACTTGATTTCTAATTGAGACTAGGTTTCCTGCAGATATTCGTCTAGATCCCCCTCCCCACCTGCAATCTGACAACGAGTTCACGTCTTTTTGAGAATTTTCCAGAGATTTTGTCCAAAGATTTTGTCTGGAGATTTGTCGCCTTTTTGAGGTAACTTCAACAACTTCCATAATCTGTGAACTTCCTTGGAGAAGCATGGAATCGTAAAATACTGGAGTTCCCATAACTATGTCTGGTTCTTTCCCGAGCAATCTGCCTTTTGGACTGGAACAGTGGGGTGCTGGGTCCAAAAAAGCTCTAGCCGCGCCCTCATGTTTGAGTAGTTCAGGTGCGCTCCTGAAGTATTCTGCGCAGCGATCTGTGATGTGTGGTTAATGATGCTTTCTAGTAGTCTGGTGTGTAACCTGAGCGAAATCGTTGACTTCGTTTCCCAAAACACGATACTCTACAACCAAAACGGGGCATTATAGATCACAAATCGTTCTGAACAAAGGATTATTTTTTTGGGTCCCTTGATAAAGCCCACCATTTCCCATCAGCTCAGCATTTACGCTCAAAAAAAAACTGTAAACGCGAGAAGAAAATTCCGTAGAGGTAGGGAAAAAGCTGAGCCTTCGGAGATCGGGATGTCTTTATTTATAAATTCAACACAACTCCCACCTTATGGTAAGTATTTGGGCTCAAACTATACCAGCTGTCATCGTTATTTTTCGAGGGGGACTTGAACTCAATAACTAGCAAAACAAAGCAAAGTGGAGAATTTCGCCTGCCTGGAAGTGCAGAAATAGACTGGTCGTACGGGGTGAGAAAGGGCCGGCCATCGTTCCTTCAATCAAGCGTCCCCTATGTGTAAAGCAGTAAACTAGAGGAGCCAATGAGTGGGAAGGGCACAAGGTTGACTTCCTCGGGCTATGCCCCGCCCGTATGGCCAGCCTGGACTATCCCTGGAAGCAACTGTTATCTTTTCTTTGTTTTTACATCGTTCTTATATGTTCCCAGTCAGGTGATTATTTTAGATTTTTCAGCGATTGACGCTGACTGGAGCTCGTAATTCGCTATCGTCAAACTCGGAACTCCCGGTGATTCCCGCTTTTCCACGGATGACCGATCTACCGATGTACATCACACCATCACAGTATGATCCGAAGTTTGATGCACCGCCGACATACGAAGAAGCCGTGCGGTCGGCTCCGACTAGCCCCACGTCGCCTACGGTACGTTTGTTTCCTATGAATCTCCAGGAGCACCTTTATTACTAGCCTTTCTCAGAAGAAACCATTTTTCCGCTTTCGACCTTGGCTAGGGATTCACAGGACTGAAGGGCTTCAAAAAGGAACTGCTGACAACGTTAAGTTCCTGCAACAATCACCTGTTTTGATTCACAATGCTTATGAGCGTTAACCGGTTTTACTGCACAAAAAGAAGCACCGGACAGTGCAATGATTCTTTGGATTGATCCCCACTAGAACTAGGAAACCCTCGCGTTAGAATCCCTGTGGTACTGCAGTGATCCAGGAATCTTTTGAAGCACCACCTTTTCTTTGGAAGCTGCCTTATCATAGACAGCAGAACAACTAGCAACAGCAACTGTGACCTTGGCTTCTCTTTTTTTTCAAATTCTGTTGCTTTTGAGGCACACTATCATGGTGTAAAGCCCAAAAGGAGCCGGTATCTGCCGTACCATAGCTGAAGGCTTCCAATGCGCGAAAAAGTGTCTTCTGTACTTTTAAGGCTCTTCGGCTTCATAGGCATTATAAATATGTTCTGCTTAATGGCAGCGTCGCCAAAAAACTGCGCAGCTCCCTTTTTGAAAGTTGGCATAAGGAGTTGGTTGATGACGATCTCACCCTCCGCCTTCCCCCAGCTCGAGGACCGTGTGCTTTTCGGGGGAATTTTAACGCCTTCTAGGAACTATTCGGTTGGGAAAGTGGGGGAAGGTTCTTCGACAAGAATAATTCAAGGTGACAGATGCCTGCCATAGTCGAATGCTGTCGGGTCACCAGGTGTGTCACGGGTGATACCATTTACCATCAGATGAGGTGAATAGGCCTGTAGTAAGAAAGGTATTCGTGAAAATAGTCCTGGGACAAAATTTGTAAAGTAGTAGTATTTTCATATCCACTTGTAGTCTGTGCAGTTACATGGAGCGATGATGATTTTTACGCGAGGCAGACTGAGTTCTCTGCAAATATTTGCGAAGGGGTTACGTGTTGAATACAATGCTGCTCAATTCGTAGCGTCCAAAGATTAAGTATCTCGACATCAGGAAAAACGAAGATTGGGGAAATTTTTGCACATACAAATGAGCGTCTGATATTGCAATCCCTCAAGTGATCGTAGATGTTCAAAAACGGGATAGGGAACTTGAGCTTATTTTGCTGGAACTAGATTTTTTTCGTAATCAACCCTAGACGGAGGTAAGGCATATTTCTGTTTCATAATGGTTCGCCAACACGATTCTTTCTTTTCAGGAGTCCTCAGCATTTCCTGTTCAAGATCGACCGCGGCCCTCCAACAATCCACCAGCAAGGTAATGATTCTGAGACGAGCATCCTACATTTTAATTCACGTGATTCCAATTAGAATCAAAACTTTGGCACTATTTACCCTTTGCTGCCCCAACCATTTAGGATTGATAGTAGTGCCTTGCAACAGTTTCTGACCGACTTTTTTCTCCGTGGACAGATTTGGCTCAAATGTTGTCTCCTGGGGTAGTTTGACCTCTTGAATACGAATATCACATTCGCTTAGCCCAAAACCCCTGACGCCCGCGCCACAGGCGCCTGTGATTTAGGGCATTTTGGCGCCGGCGCCTGTGGCGCGGGCGCCAGGAGGTTTCGTGCCGAGCGGATGTGATATTCATGTTCAGGAGGTCAAACTACCCCAGGGAACAAATTTTCAGCCAATTCTGCCAACGCAGAAAAAAGTCGGTCAAAACTGGCCTGTTTTCGGAAGATTGGGGCAGTAAAGGGTAAATAGTGCCAATACTTTTGATCGAACCCTAGTCTCAACTAAAAAACACATTAGTACTCTGTTCGCTCTAATATGC